AATATGCTATTGTAAGGTGGGATCTGATTAGAAGAGGTATGTCACTGATGGCATGCTGTTAGGGGGTTATTATGGTTTGTGTCTAGTTGTTCCCCCAAAGCCTCATGAAGTCATGGGGCAGACTTCTACAGTTTGTGATTAACTCATGATCCACTGGTATTATGGGTGTGAGAGCTTCTGGGATTATGGTTGTGAGAGCTTCTGGGATTATGGGTGTGAGTACTATACCCAGCTTGGGGCAGATACCCTGGATGCACTTCAGGGACACAGACTTGCTCTCTGTAGCCATTGTTGCTGCTACTTTTTCCTTTTGCTCTTGCTTTTTGGCACTGCCATGAACTGCTGTCCTCTGCCATGTGCCAGTCTGCTTTGGAGCCAGCTGAATGTGGACTGAAACATCCAGTAACAGTGAGCTAAACAAACTTTTCCTTCCTTCATTTGGAGTATTGGGTAGAACTCAAACAGGGGAATATGTCCCTCATAGCTTTTCCCTCCTCTCTTTGCTTCCTGGATTCCATTGGGTGAGCAGCTTTCCTGTACCATGCCCATTTACTATGCTGTTTCTGCTTTGTAATCAATCACCATGCAACTGAGCCCACAAAAACCATGAGCCAAAATAAAACTTTTCTACTTTTAAATTGTGGGTGTAGGTTACTTAAATCCCTGTTCTAGGAAGGTGACTAATATAGCAGCTGTCCAGAATCACCTACCATCCGTGTCACATGGCACTGCAGGTAATGGAGAAGGAAACTTCTTATGTGAAACTGAAATGTAGAAACTTTTCTGGTGCTGTAGTCAGAATGTACTTTAATACACACACACACCATATATGGACCACTGAAAACAGCAGATATTCCTTAGACAAAGTGAACTTCAGCCTAATCTGCAATATTTTAATTTTTCACAAAGTTTAGGAATATATAGATTTCATGTACAAATAATAGTTAAATGTAAAAGACAATCTCGTATTCCACTCCTATTGTTGGTAGAATCAGTCACACACCACAGGTACCAGGAAATGAGTAGGTCATGCTCTAGGGCCTTGAATACCTTCATGGTGTGGTCCTGTCTTCACTGAATGGCTACTCTTTACAATGGAGTGTGCTACATTCGCCATCCAATGAGCTGAAATCAGACTTATCCAAGGTGTGACATTGCCCAGGCTGTAGTTCTCTGTTTCTTCATCTTTCTCTACATCTATCAGAAGACACAGAAAGGATCATTGCATCAAGAATGGAATAGCAGTGTCCACTCAGATGAGGTCGTAGGAGTGGCTCAAAGGACAAGCACTCAAATCAGGAAGACTTGCTCAAGCTGGGTCTTAATGACTAAACAGGAGTTAACTGAGAATACCCAGAGTAAGGGGAGGCACATGCAAGCCAGAGCATCGACACACATAGGGTGCAGAGGGCAGAGTGCTCTGTTGCTTACAAAGCATTGCTGCCTTCTGGGTGGTAAAAACATAGGATGTGTACATAAAAGAGACATTCAGGGAAGGTTTCTCTCTATGAATGTGGTCTTGATACACAGGTCTCTACCAAATCCTTATGCAGAATGTGCCCTAGAATGCCTGATCAAGGGCATAAGTGGGACACAAATACAATAAAGTCCCACCCACAAATCCATGCACGTGAATGCAATTTAGTTCTACCAGAATAAAAGGGTCTTCTCCTTAGCATTCAAAGCTGCCATGTAGTCTAACCAAAGTCTCGTCAACTTCCAACCCCCAAAACACAGCTTTAAAGCCTTTTCACACAAGGTCTCACTGAATCCTCACAACTCTGTGAGACAGAAATTATGAATACATTTTATAGTTGAAGGAACTAAGTGTGAGATGTGGAAAAGATAAGGGGGTAAGAAAGAATCTCCAGAACGCCCAACCTCCAAATGATTATACTTTCCATTTGCAGCCTGACACCACTGGCCAGAACCTAATTCTCCTGTTATGCCTATCAGCAAGGGAGACTGGGAACGCTAGTCCTACTCCTAATCCATATCCTTCCACATTCCAATTCTGGGAAACATACTATAATGGTCTCTCAAGCTTCTGCTACCCTCCTGAGGACTTCTATTGATCACCAGACCTCTGAATCTGAGCATGGGCAAGCGCCAGCGAGCTTGCCTCCTCCACATCTGATGGATGATGAGGAATTCACACCACCCTGACATACCAATATGTCTCTTCATTTCTGTGTGCTCATGTATGTTTCCTATATATGGATAAATAAAGATCCAGATTGTCTCACCAAGATGCTGGGCAAACATGCCCATATTGCTTTCTGGGATCCTTCATGATCCTGCTCAATATTTATGGAACAATCATTAAATCATCTTTTAACAACAGGACCAAGTCTAGTTGGCTCCTTTGGCCAGAGATGTAACCTCAGAGGAGAGTCATTTCCCACTTGAGTCCTAGGTAATGGAGGAAGTCAGACAGCGCTGGTTGTACAGTCTTCATTACACACTGCTCCTCTTTATGGGATGATGCACACATTCTATGCATTCTAGGGTTTCAATGTTGCATCTCCCCTGGGTGTGACTCCTACATGGACACCAGAGGGTGCAGTGCTAGATGGAGGCAGGTACAGCCAAGTGCATAGCATCATTGTCTACAATGGCTGCGTGGAATGAGACATTCATGGGGTACAATCGAGCAGCCACCCCACAAGAGAGTAGGGTGTGTGTGTGTGTGTGAAAAGTATCAGCATAGGGAAGATGAAAAAGCACCAAGGAGACATCTAATTGTGATACATATAGCTGGGTGCCATCTTCAGCAAGCAGATCTCATTAGGGGTTGTGTGGGAGCTGAGAGAGCTGAGAACAGGATGCATAACATTAAAACAGGTGTGTAACAACACAGCACACAGTGACCTGCAACACAGTGAGTGAGGGCCAGGGAGTTCCTAACAAAAGTGATGGCTTGTGTTCATGCAGCAGGCTCCAACCCCACTCTTGTCAGCTGGGCTCACAGCCTAAGGCCATGTCCCAAAGATCCTTAGCAATGGTGCAGAGGTCTGGGCTTTGTGTTCCTCCACAGGGCTCAGGCATAGAGAAATCTTCTTTGACAGTGTAGCACCAGTGATTTCTTTTATTATTATTATTATTATTATTATTATTATTATTATTATTATTTTTATATTTAAAGAGTATATGAATTATAATTAAAATGGAAAAAATTACAAGTGATACGGAATGTCCCTTAACAAAGAAATATGAATTTCACAATACTTGTAATACATAGTGTTGTCATCCTGTTATCCATATTACCAGGTATATGCATGTAAAATTGGAAGAAGAAAAAAAAGAAATGTATATGAAATTAAGAAGAGAAAAAGTTCAAACAATTGAAAAAAGGAGATCAAACAAATAAAAGCATTAACTGCTTTTTTCCATAGACTAGCAGAAATGCACAGTACAGTTGTCCAAACCACCCTGCTTACATACATAAGTAAATCTCTTTCCCCTACTCCCTCTCCTGTCCTTTTCAATTCAATTTTTTGGGCAATTCAACTTTTTCCTTTTGAATAAGTTCATTTCCTTTACCCAGTGTATTAGTTACTCTTCTCTTGTTGTTGGGACAAATACCTGACACTGAAAATGAGGGAAGGAAAGGTTTATTTAGCTCAGTTACTGGAGGCTTCAAGACACTGTCCCCCGCTCTGCAGGGTCTCAAGGAGAGGCTGGGTGCTGCTGTGTCCAGGATGACCCTTTCCGCATCTCTGAGGGAGTCCGCTAGCTGGGGGAGTGGGGGGAGAGGGCACAGCGCAGGCTGTCAGTTTAATGAGCTGACACCCATAGAGCCCCTCAAGCTCTGTCCTGGTCCTCTGTTCCTATTCCTCAAGCCACTCACTGTTCCTCCAGCTGGAACTGCCCCATGACCTACATGAGGCTTTGTGAGGACAACTAGACACAAACCATAACACCCAGTATGTATTGTGCCCTTCAGATTCCATTTTCTCTTTCAGGTTCTCACGCTAAGGAGACAATACAAAGTTTGCACATGTAGGTCTGATTTATTTCACTTAAGAGTATGTTCTCTAGTCAGCATCAGTGATTTCATGGGTGAACCATTCCTGATCCATAGTTGCAGGGTCCTGGAATATACCCCTGGGCATGCGGGGGTCTCAGGCAAGTCCCTGAGAAGAATAAGCAAAGGCCTTTGTAATATGACAGAGCTGCTGCCTCTGGCCACACTAGCCCCAAGAGTAAGGGTTTGGCTTCATCAATCAAGCTTCCTCAATATTTCTGACTTCTGTTTTTTTGAAAATATAAGCATGCCCTGCCCTATTCTTCTCAAACTTCCAGCATTCTGACTGATAACTCAAGGAAACTGAAAAAGGACACTATACACAGTAAGTCCTCAATTTATGGACATTCAAATTGCCAACTTCCACAAGTACAGATTTCATGTTATGAGCACATGTAGATGCAAACAAACTGCAGAAGCAGCACATGTGTCTACATTGTCACAGTCATGCTGTGTGCTTACTGTACAGTATGATAGTGTGCATTAGTATAGTGCTCAATCAGAGCCCAGCATGTGTAGAAGCAAGAGGAAAAACAGTGGTGATGTGGAGGGGACCACTAAGAAGCAAAAAAGCAATATACATTGTATATTCATGTCAAAGCTGTGTAAGATTCACTTTGTCCAAGTTACCAATGAATCCAACTTAGGAACATTCTCCTTATGAATGAGCAGAACTCATTCACAAGTCAGGGACTTACTGTATTCAGTTACTAAGGGAATATTTTGTTTCTCCCAAGAAACTCCCATGTCTCTTTGCCTCTCCAAATCTGAAGGAACAGATGATTCTCATTGCCAAGTAGCCCACCACACACACATGTGCACATGTACATACACACGATCACATTCATACATATAGGCACACCCATAGAAAGGTGAGAACAAGTGAAAGGCACAGGACTCGGCAGAGATACTTTGGTCTTGCATTCTTGGCCCACTGAGAAAAGAGTGAAAGATTAGATTTTCTCTAGGGTGGCACTAAATTGAAACCACTGATCCATTTAACATCCATACATGCACAGCACAGACCTTATCCATGCACATACCTAGCCCCTCCCAACTGTGGGCTCCTGTGGAAATAACCCAGATCTTATGCTCCCTCTCCTCTGATCTTCATAGGCATCTAGCCTTCTTATGCCATTTAGCAGCAGGGAAAACTTAGGCCCAGAGACTTGGTGAGTGTCCAAGAGTGGGCAGCTTTCATGCCCTGGGAGCAAATGGCCCAATAAAGGAGGAACTCCAAAGAGTCAAAAAAGTAACAAAACATTTATTTTCAAAACATGACTGTCCAGCTGACCAAAGTCCTAAAAACCCTAGCATCATATTGCACACTGGGCTCTGCTGGCACACAGGAAGAGCTGGCATCCTGCAAGACTGAAGCCCCAGGCAGGACATGAGCAGGGAGGGCTTAACTCCTTGGCCAGTCTGTCCTCGCCAGGATAGGTGAAACCGGGGGTGGGGCGCTATATTAGCTCCTAAGCCACGCTGAGCCAGGTGTCCCCACCCTGCTTAGTTCCTCACAGGCAGGTTCAGGGGCACACTTGATCTTTATAAAACTGGCTTCTCAGAGCCCCTCAAAATGATTTACGTATTCTTTGCCCACTAGAGTAGCTAAGCGGCCCCCATCACCTGAGCAGACAGACGAAACACGCATAGAGCCACAGGCAGCGGCAGGCATGCTCTCTTGAGAAGCACTGTACCCAAACCCAGTCAAGTATGACCTGTGCCCATGTAGCTGGCCACCTACATGTGTGTTCAGGGTTCTCAAACAGCTGTGTCTTGGGCAGGAGCACCAGCATATCTTTAGGTCCTGTCCCACTGCCACTAATGCAGCCGCAGGTAGGAGGGGGCTGAGTAATTGAAGAGCAGGAAGTCCATCTTGTAGAGATCAAAGAGGCGCCGCTGGTAGAAGGGGCTGATGTCCTGGAAGAGCCGTGCGGCTTGGTCTCTCACAGCAGCCGCTTTGGGCCGTGGTGGCGTCGGAAAACTCAGCTTCGACTCACCCACCAAGTCCAGCACGAAGGCGGCATCCTCCGCCAGAGTCTCAAACTTGCCCACAACGTCGTAGCGCAAGCGGCAAGGATGGCAGAGCGCATGCGCGCGCTCCCAGTGCTCATTGAAGGGCTCGTCGCGCCGCGTGCGCGGATCCAGCAGGTAGCTCAGGAATTCTGCAAAGCGTACATCGTGGCCATGTGCCAGGGCGTCAGCGTGTGCACCGGGGCGTAGGCGCCGCACTATGCGCGTGCCATAGCGCCGCTGGAAGGCCTCGCTATAGGGCCTCGCGAATTTGTTGCGGTAGGCAGATGCCAGGCGCTCGAAAGGTTCGCGCACAAATAGGAAGGCCAAGTAGGCGCGCAGGCGCCTGTTGATTTCGGCGGGGCTGAAGTCTGCCAGCGAGGGCAGGCTGCCCGGCGCGTGCACCTGGTGCGCGGGGATGGCGCTGGGGTCGCCGTGGGCGCGGCCGCTCAGCGCCAGTAGCACGCGCTTCCAGTTGGTGCAGGCTACCTTGGGCACGTAGCAGTAAAGCAGGCCGTGAGCATCATCCACTAGCACGTGCCGCAAGTCTTCCGGGCGCAGCAGGTGTTGGCGACGCGTGAGGCGGCTGCAGGTGCGGCGAAGAAGGTCGCGCCGCTGCCGGTGCACCTCTGCCAGGAGTGAGGGTGGATTCTGCAGTGGACAGGGAGGATAGGGGTTCCCCTCAGAGCTGCTGGCCCTGCGCTTCTCTGGTCACAAGGGGGAGCTGCTGTGCTAAGGTTACAGGCCCAGGAACTGGCAGGGGCAGAGCACCTAGAGTTGAACCTCGAAGTGCCACCCATCACTGTGGTTTAGTACCCAGGTCCGATTCTGTACTTGAAATTAGGAGAAATGGAATCTAAGCTTGCAGAGAAACGGTGAAGGATATGACTACTCATGGGTGCTAGATCCATCAGGGGCACCATGAGGAATACAAACATGAATTGTTCCCGTGTCAGCATAAGCCCAGGTAGAGTATGACCTCAATGTGCGCAGTGTGACAACTGACACAAATTGCACAATGTTTACTAAAAGTAGGATGTTTATTTGTTGAAACTGTACTTCCGATTTGATTTGAAACTGTCTCATTGCTATCTGTTTATCAATAAAACTTTGAAAAAAACAAAAAAAAGAGATATGCTTGTATGTTTACTATATTTTAACAATCAATATAAATACGAACAATAATTTTCATGTTAATATTACTTAGTTCATGTTACTTTTGAACTTTTAAATGAAGAATCTTAAGGATCATTATATTATAATCTATTTTTACAATATAATCTAGTATTATTAAAAAGAGAGCTTTAGGGCTGGGGAGATGGCTCAGTGGAAGAAGCGCTTCCCTGGCAAGCGCAAGGGCCTGAATTCAATCCCCGGTTCGCAAAAAAATAAATAAATAAATAAGTAAGTAAAAATTTAAAATGTAAAAAAGAGAGAGAGCTTTAAGTCTCCTCATTTTTATATTTAGTAGATTAATTCTGGCATCTATTACACAAATTAATTTGTTCAGTCTTCTTTCAATAAGTAGAGGGTGTTTCATACATTTTATTCCACCTACAAACATAGTGGATTATGTGAAGTATCTTGTTTACTTTAACATTTTTCTGCTTCAGGCAGTATGGCTTGAAAATTAAAAATATAGTAATTTAAATGTCAAAAAAAAAGTAGGATGCTGTGTAAGAATTGTAATTCTGTTTAATTCCTTATAGAGAGGGAAGATGCACGCCTGTAATCCAAACATTTGGGAAGGCTGAGGAAAGAGGACAAGCTTGATCCCAGACCAGGCAACTTATCGAGCCATTATTCCAAATAAAAGTGAAAAATAATAGGAATGTAGTACAGAACAAAGGCCCTGGGTTCAATCCCCAGTAAAAAAAAAAAAAAAAAAAAAAAAAAAA